GAAAACTCCAGGGCTTATTAAAGGCAAAGATATTACCTCTGACTCAGGAAGTCCTTGGCCACAAATTGCTAGAGACTGGAAAGTTTTGCCAGGAAGGTATTCTGTGCTTCCCCTCTTCTTTCACTTCTCCTGTAGCATTCACTGCAGATCCATCGCACGGGAAGGACACTGGACAGTTGTTGTGGTCTGCTTCTCTGGATCTGAAGACTAACCCAAATTCAGAGCAGTAATGGGCATGCTGACCTACTTTTAAGCATTGCCCAGGGGGGTCTTGGCAGTGTCAGATTCTTCCTTTGGATTTGTCCCTAGCCCTTCCTCACCCCAGATGCCTTCTGACTCTCAGAGAACAACTCTTGGATGTGATGATGTCCTTCACCTCCCCCACCTTCCATTTTTTTCTGTGCCCTGCTGGCAGGAACATTTGGCATTTGACTTGCCCTCATAACATTCATGTTTTTCTTGGAGCTCTCTGAGATAGGATTTTTCCCAGCCTGGATGAGTTGCTGTTATTTCTATGGAGTCAGCAGTACAATAGACCCTCCTGGGAGCCAAGGCCTTGCCTGTCTGGTGGCTCAGGCTTACAAAGAGTCAGTCCCGCGCGCTTAACGTTACCTTTTGATTTCCGGGATTAGTGCCTGACTGGTGGCAGGTGAGAAGGCAGAACAGCCCAGCACAAAAGGAAAGAAATCAATTAAGTTTACACTGCAATATGTGTTCACTGAGGTCCAGGTTAGAGAAACAGGAACGGAGGAGAGGGCATTGCTGGCACTGGGAGCAGTGAGCAGACAGCAGTCTTGTGGTCATAGAACTAACAATGCCAATGGAGAGGATCTTCCCTCTCATGTTTTTTTTGACATGTATGCTATCCATGCTTAATATAAGTCACAATCTAGCAGTTAATGTCTCTGCACTGTGGTTTTCTTATTTTTAAAAGTTGGCTTAAAAGTTCTCAGTTTCTCTAAGCAGAGTAGGTAAAAACTGAGCTAAGGCATATTAGTCACAATATTATCAGGAGATGAAAGTGATAGAGATATAAAGTACTACCAGCTTTTAATTAAAATTGAATAAGTAAAAAAACAGTTGGCAGTTGCAGAATTCATTATGATGTGTTGCCAAAAATAGATACCTTTATGAGAATGCAGTTTTATTACAACAGTGGGCACTAATCAGCTGTAAACATCTTGCTGAGATAGCCAGATAGAAAATGTTACTAATACTCACAACGTGTCTCAATTGGCTGGAATGGAAAACTAGAAACTGTTAAGACACTTAAAATGTGATCTCTGACTACCAAAATAGAGGTATGCACTTCTGTTACTTAAGGCAACATCTGAATTTCAGGAACAATAACAGTGTTTTCTGTGTCTGGTTTAAATTTGCAAGGAAAACTCAATTTTACCAAAATGTAACCTGGCTTAGCTGAAATATGCATGACCCCATGTTTTTATTTCTTCTTTCTGTAGAATAGTCAGACTTGCAATTTAGATCCTCCAACCTTTTATACATTTCATTTGGTAAAAAATGCCTTTGCTCTTAATGAAAACATCTTCCAATATGAGTTTACATGTACAGATCTACAGTTTAGAGCATCTTACTGACCAGTTTGGGATGTATGTTTGCATCTTGTGTAATCTCTGCAAAATTTACTGTCACTGTAAAAATTACTCTCCTCTCTCCTCCTGTAATGTAGAACATCAAGCAATAACAACAAATCTGTGGGTGGTTTATCTGATTTATGCTAATTTGCTATTGACATGCTTGAGGTATCACTTGCATCATCCCAGTCTTGCATATTTATTATTAAAAATATTAGCTGCTTATGAAAAGGAAATATTTTAAATAATGATTCATTTGTCCTGTGATCACCTCTTGAAATCAGGGCCCCATTCTGGTAGACTGTATACAAAATCGTTGCAAATGAAGTGCAACCTGAAGTGTTTCAGATAAGCTAGCAACAAGAGGATAATTTGAATCCAGGAAGATTAATATACCCCACCTACAAGGAGCAGGTCTCAACTCATGGAATTTCAACCATTAAACATGAGGCTTCTAAATCACCTCCAAAGCCAGTATGGGAAAGAAGTTACCGCAACCTGTGATTTAGCTCACATAATTTAAAGACCTGAAGCCTTCATGGGAGGCTTAAGCACCAGTATGTAAGCTTGAGCTTATATTTTCAAACTTGGAGGCTTCACCAGTCTCCTAAACTCTTGTGTTGGTACCTAAGTGAGCATACACAGAAGTGATGAGGGAGTTGGTGACTCCGTAGCAGTCAGAAGGTGCTGCACAAGGCGAATACTCTTCCTGAAAAAGCCACTTACATGCCTAACTTATAGGGCTGAGCTTAAGAAGTAAAGTCACAGGCACAAGCCCCACACTTTAAAACTTCACCCACCTTCCTTGGGATCTAAATATTGATAAATAAATTATCCTTTGTAAGCAGTCCCCTGTCCTAGATCTTCCTAGTGCTGATGCTTTCTAACATCACTGATTGACACGGTGCCCTGATACACTGGAACTACATGCCAAGTTTATGGGCTGGAACAAAGTACAACATAGAAAAATGAGTTTCCAGATGTTTTCCACAGGAAAGATTAGAGCTGCAGTATGCCAAAATTTGCAGATATGTGGACTTAAGGAAATTCTGAATCTCTTGTTCTTTGTTGGCATTACTCATAGAAAAAAAATCAGCATGATATTTAAAGCATCCCATGCCAAAGCTGGTACCTACCAATATTTGCAATATTGTTTAGCCTTGCTGTCTCAGTGGGATTTCACCCATTGCTTCTTATTTCAAAACCTTCATTAAAAAAACCCACTTTTTCCATCCAGAAGCTGTATTTACTTCAAGTATTATGTCTTTATGGTAGAATAAACCTTATATATGAGCAATCTAAGATTAACATGTGACAGAGGTTTTTTTCTGAAAACTGGTGACTGCCACAGTTCTATTTCTGGTGTCCATACCATTGCAGTTTTGGTATTTAATGTTAAATTGTGCCCACTTTCTCCTTCTGATTTGCAAGTGCTTGCCTTTGTTAATGGGTCAGAAGGTATATTGATATTCTTGGAGATTAAAGCCATGAAATTATTATTGACATTAGACATTTGAGCTCCTTTTCCCCCAGAATCCACACCCTGTTGATTGAATGAGGCCTTAGTAACATACACAGAAATATCCATGATGCTTGCCTGAATATTCCCTTGGTATTTACAGTAGAATCATAGAATTATAGAGTGGTTCAGGTTGGAAGGGCCTTAAAGATCATCTAGTTCCAACCCCAACACCTGGGGTCAGAGTACCTGGGTCAGAAACATTCCAGAATGCTTTGAATATTGGAAAGGAAAGAAGGGCAAGCTCTGTTTAGGAGGAAGGAAAAATATGGAAATAGACCTGGCATACTGAGAGGTGCTGTGGTGGAGCGATGGCTGCAACACCAATGCTCAGAGTACCTCAGCCAGAGCTGTGCTGGCTCACAGGGCAGTGTGCTCAGTCCAGAACTGGGTGTGAGAGATTTTGGTTGCTCCACAAGTGCTGTCTGCTGTTATCATCCGGAAGGTGATGGTATTAGACAGGCATGCAGGACTGACCATAAGTTAGGAAACACTGATCCTTAATAGTTGTGGAAGGCTGAATGCCAGGGATGCAAAGATGCCAAGATTGGCTGATAGTGTGCAAAAGCAGCACAGGGAACCCAGGCTGAGATGCTGTAGAAGGCAAATCATCAACGCTAAACCCTCCATGTTCACTTGTGTTTCTCACTCCTCCCCTGGCAGTCAAAGCCAACACAGACCACTGAAGGACGTCATTCTCTCCGAACTCTATGTTACTACATTACAAACTAGCTTGTGCAGCCAGAGAGAAAAATGTTCTCTTACCTTGGGACACCTTGAGGACTGCACCCCAGGGCACTGCTGCAAAAACATTGCAGAACTGCCCCAAAGGAATGGAAAGCTATGGCAGGTGTAAAGTTTGCTGTTATTACCAGATAAGATTCAAAGACAAACAAATGCATTCAACTAAAAGCCCAGATTTAAAATAACAGAGCGAAGTTAGAAGAATATAAACCAACATGTATACATTTCATTAAGGTTATACTTAGCTATATCTGTATCCATATATCTATCTATCCATGTAGATATATATCTCCTCCTTATCTGCTCTTGTGTCTCAGCTTTTGACTCTGGCTGATAAGTTTCTGCATGGAATGCTGGACTGGTGTGCCTCTGGGTATACAGAGTTGCTTACACCTTGCTTTCTTCTTCTGGTAAAGGTGGGGACCTGCATCTCCTCTAGCTCAAGGTGTATTTATTCTTCTTTGTCTGCGCTTCATTCCCTGGCATTGGGCCATCGGGTGTTTTCTGGGAGATGTCAGTATTTCATTCTGCCCCTCCCCCTTAAGGTTGCTTCAATAACATTTCTCTTGTCCATAACACTTTTTAGCTTTTGTTTTTCACTAATTATAGTCTCATTAAAATAGAGCAGCATCACTTACAAAATGATGTGTTATGATAAATAGTACAAATTCCTTTTAAAGTATAAACAATATAAACAGGCTATATAGTGTATATGTATAGTATATGACGCTCAAACACAAACTGATATTGAGGGTAGATCTGCCAGATCTCCTCCACTTCATCCTTTCTTAGATTTTGGGGACTCATCTGTGTGTTACTGGGTTTTGGTGAACTTGAACAGTGAATACCAAAGGCTTTGCACATCTTCAGGCCAGCTTGCTCTCCTTCCCAGCCCTCCTTTCTAGCATTGGCTGTAAATAACCACACACATACACACACACACACACACACAAAATGGTTACCATCTAAAAATCTACATTTTTAAAAATACATTATAATACAGTATTTCTTGCAGTGTCTTGTTCGCAGAGTGGTGCAGAAATACGTTGTAGAATCTTAGATATCACTGTGGGATAGAGTTGGGCAAATGTTGGATTTTATATGCTTATTTTAAGTATTGACTATCTTTATTAAATACTAAATAATTTTTTTCTTGTTTCCCATTCTAGTTCGTCAGATATCAGATGATGATGATGAGACCATTGAACAAATCGATGAAGATATAGCTGTGACTCGGAGTCAGATGAACTTTATTTGTCCCATTACACAGGTAATGCTATCAGTGCTACAAAAATTGACTGGGAAATAGTTATTTCATATTCTACATTGGTTGTTTTATTAAAAATCTTCAGTATCTGTTAAAAAACAGACAGTATAAATTAGAAGTGAAGAACAGAGAAGAACAACATTGCTTGGGAAAAAACCCCAGCAAGTAGGAATGCAGTTTACCAAGCAGGGCCTGATCATGTAATTTGACTGGAATGCCATGTGTGAATGGCAAACACACTTCCTGCTGTTTTACATAAAATCTCATAAGAAGCATTTTCATGGGCATTATCAGTTCCTTTAAATCAAACTTTATTGATTACAGATGGAAATGAGGAGGCCGGTGCGAAACAAGGTCTGTGGACATACCTATGAAGAAGAGGCCATTGTAGAAATTATCCAGTCTCGAAAGCAGAGAAAGAAAAAAGTCCGGTAAGCTAAAACAAATGTGTGGAAAAGCTATTTGCTTTGCTGTGTAAGTGGAATTTTACTCCACTTGTTCTAGGAAACGTATGTGGATTGGCAAGGCTGCAGGAAGTAATACCTCAGCGTCTGCCCAAGTCGCAGTCTTCTCATTAGTACTGTACACGAGAAAGAGCTTTTTTTTTTAATGAAAACAATGTGTAAGAAAATATTCAGAAATTGTGTGGGGAAGTTACAGCTACTTGCGGTACCTGGACAACAGAAATAAAGAGATTTCATATAGCCATGAACAAAAAAGAGAACCTTCAGCTTCCTAAAGTTTAGTTGCTGATTTTGTTCCCACTGCTTATGTAGCAAATCTTGAAAATATTGAAAACAAACAAAACAAAAAACTCCTCTGTGCACCCTCTTTTGCAGTTATATTCCAATACAACTGAGAAATATTAAAACACTTAAGTGAGTGTTAAAGTCAGAAATATTAAACCACAACATTTTAGGTAGTACAGAATTTAAGAATGATCAGACAGTGCAGTACAGATTGTGCAGTTCCTGCTATGATGCAGTTAAATAATTCTTTCTTTATATCATCAAAGCAGCCTGTCACTTTCCACATGGGACATATTTTTTTGAGTGAAAAGATGTAGCAGTTGAATTTTTCAACCTCAAATTCTCCCCGGTAAGTTTAAAAACCAGGATGATTTTGACTTAAGGAAAAAAAAGTAAAAAGAAAAAAAAGAAAATAAAAGTGTCTCAGACACTTTTTAGAGCACGTTGAGAGGACAAACCATTTCATCATTGATTTCACATTTGTTTTTACACCCTTTATGCTAGAGCTTCATGCTTTGGGACTGATGACGTCATGGAAACTTACCAGTTGTGGACTTTTAAATAAATGTGGAGTTTTCAGATGCTCAGGTTAAGGTCTCACAGGGACCAACAGCTTGATTTCCCCAGAGATAATGCCACAGGCAGCTTATGTCCTCCATCCATTGCTCTGGCATTCATTTCTGTTGGACTCTATAGAGTCCTCCATGGGGGTTACAAAGGTGGAGCGGAGTTTTTTATTCCGCACTCCTTCCCTGCTGCAGGAAAGCCCTGCTATAAAATCAAGCATCAGTTGGGATGTCCAGCCACTACCTTAGTGTCAAGACAGCTTGAAGGGCCTTGCCTGTGTTATGAGGTCTAGGGAAAAAAAGTAGAATGGGTGCAGTATCCTGGGAATAACAACAAAACCAGCAACACGGATGGACAGAAACTTGGCTGGAAAAATGAGCAGGAGTTGGGAAACAACTCAGAAGTTGGAGAGACGAAAGTGAGCGTTCTGGAGGATAGGGAGAAGCTAGGAAGCGTGTGCTCAACAGCCCAAAACCACGACAAAAATACCTTCTGTGATACAGAACTGAATTTAGGTGTTCATATCTAAATATTTCCCTGTGTTGTTAAATCCATCAGGAGAATGTCATGGTAGGAGAGATTGCTGTAGTGGATCACATTTGTTTCAGCACTGCTGAAAAACAAATAGGGTCACATGACTGAATTTTATTTTACCTTTTAAGAAATAAAAGACTAGAGAAATTCTAGAGTTAAAAAAATCATGTAAGCTGTACAACATCTAGCTTTAAAAGCTACCTTATACCTAAACAGAAGTTATTTGTTCAGTCTGAATACTGGCCTTTAGCTTGCAGCCTTACCACTTTTACAGCAGTTATTCCAGTGTGCTAGAAAAGCACACACACAGCAATACCACAGCTTCACTGTAACTAAATTAAGAAGGACTACTTGGTTTTCTCTGCCCAGTCTCACCGACCTGCTGTAATTTTAAAATTTTCTTTTTTTTTTTTTTCTCATGAAAATGCAGTCACTTTTGAAAAACCATCATCTGCTGTGGTGGGAAGGCAGGCCAGCAGGTGCAACAAGTTCCCCATTTGAGTACCCCCTTCTCGTGGTGTTGCTACTTAGCTGTGCTCCTGCCAGCAACACTCATGTGGAAGCAGGTGTCCTGATAGAGCAGAGCATGGTTACAGGGATCCTCGCTATCCTGACTCTGAAGTCAAAACTGTTGCTCACTCTGGAGACACAGAGTGGCTGTTTCCTCACACATACTTTCCAGTTTGGATCCACAGGATCCTTCAGTGCCCTTGGCAGTGCAGTAGCTGCATGTCAGCCCTGCAGCTGGTGTGCACACAGCCACCAGTGCTGTGCTGATAGACTTGTCATACACTCCTTTAGGCAACTCTTACGTCTCTCAGTCTGCTTAGTATTTTCCACTGCCTGGAAGGACATGCTAATACTTCATGCTTACAGGAAATGTGGGAAGCTTTCTGAGCACTTGTTATTCATTAATCTGGCAAGCTATTGCTGTATTAAGGTGATAAATGGGAAAACTGAGGCACAGAGCAATTAAATGACTGGTCTATGACAAGCACAGTAAGCTGTGGACAAATCTGGAGTAAAAGTTATGAGTACTGAGTGTAAATAAGTTCAGCACCTCAGATAAAAGCTACTCTTAAGAGAGGAAAAATTCAGGAAAAGTGTTACTTCTGACTAGAGGTTCCATCTGTGCGTGTTTGGGCCACTGCCAAAGGAAAGTGACCTTTGGTCCCTGAATATCTTTCACCCTGCTTTCTTTATCTGGCTGTTTCAAGTAGTTGTAAGGCATTCTGTATTTGATTATCATCTAGAGGCTGTTAATTTGACCCCATTTCTCCTTTCTGAGCTTTCACAGTTCCTAAAAGGTCAGATTGATCTTTATACCAACTAGATAGTCCACTAATTCACCAGTCAGTCTTTGCAAGTGTCATTCTCTTTATCTGTTTTACTAAAAATAATTCCCCTATTTATCTGTTAGTGAAGATTATACTTCTCCACTGCAGATTAGTAAGGTAAGAGGTAGTTACCTGGAGCTTGTAGAGGACTGCGAAGAGAGAAAGCAACACAGAAAGGTGTCCATGCAATGCTGATGTCATTGCTGATACAAGCAGCTTGTGTACATGAAGCAAGAGAGTGATCTACAGGTGAGAGGTTCCATCTCTCACTGTGCTCCTTCCTTCCTTCCTCCCTCTCTCCCTTCCTTCCTTCCTGCCTTTCTCCCTCCCTTCCTCCCTCCCTTCCTGCCTTCCACTGATGATTCCCTCCAGTTTAGATAGATTTATTTTTTCCCACAGAGAGCTGGTGAAGAGGAAAAGAGGTAAGGAGGAAATGATGGAGAAGGTGAATCCCAGATAAATACAAAAACTAGCAGATGTTATGCAAAAGCCTGTATCTGACAAATACAATTCTTCCGATTTAATGGAGTCTCTCTTTTCTTTTTAACAGATGCCCTAAAATGGGCTGTAGCCATGATGATGTAAAAAGATCAGACCTTGTGCCAGATGAAGCACTTAAAAGAGTGATTGACAGTCAGAATAAATAAAGCTGGTCAACATTGGACGAGTGAGCTGGATACCTACTGCCACAAAGAAAATTTGTTATTGGAGGTCTTGTGAGATAAGCTGCTGATTATATGTAGGTTGTGAGACTGATTGTTATTTTTTAAGTGTTAAGTGTTTAATTTTTAGGCAAATCATTGTTAAGTGTTTCATTTATAGGCAAAGGCCTCAACTCTAACTGAAAGCATTTTTTGAACTAATGAATGTAAGGAATTCTGTTTTGTTTGGGGTATTTTGACCTTCCTGAATTTCTAAACACTTGCATTTTATAAATAAAACATGCTTTGCAACATTTAACCTTCCTTGTCAGTGTGCTAGTTTTTTCAGCATATTAGAGATGCAGATTCTGCCAGCATGTAACAGTGAGCGTTCTGCTCTATGTTGCAGATAGTTTTGTTACTGTCTCTGTAACTGGGAATACTTGCAGTAGGGCACTCTGACCAAGGATTTACCCTGCTTGGGAGCACGCCCATGTTTTAATAGAAACCTCAGGAAACATTAATAGAGATGAATTTTCAGAAAGTGTTGCACATCTATACCTTGTGTGTGGACACAGAAAACTGCCACTCAGCTTTGAGGATCTTGGCCTTGTTCTTATAATTTCTGAAGTCTCTGCCCTAACTTAGGCTTTTCTTTTGAGATTCAGTAGCATTTATTTCAAGCTTTTTGTATTTGGAAGTCCCAGAATGCTTTACCTTAATACTCTATGCTAGAAGACTACAATTATTTGTAAAGGTATTCCAATAACAAAATTATAGATAACACAAATATATTGTAACCATATGCCTTGAATTGAAAACCAGTTAATCTCATTTTATATAAGCTTCAGATACCTAAGCTTTTGGGCACAGATCCAGAAAAGAACTTAAACTTTGTGACACTCTGTTTATTACCTAAATTGCCCTGAACATATCTAGCAGATAAGGCATTACATATATGAGTTAGAAATAGCTGTAGGCAAAAGGAGCTGCCTTGGCAGTCAGATGGCAATTATCTCTTGTCATATGTGAAGCAGAAAATATAGGTTTCTTTGAATTTTTGAATCCTTAGTGGGCTAGGTGGTATCTTCCTATGTAGTTTTTCTGAATTTACAATATAACATTTAGTGTAAAATGGAGCTGAGGCACCTATATGCTAAGCTTTTCACTCTGTGATACTGTTTGCTAGCTGCTCTCCTTTCATAGACCATTATTAACCCCAGTTGCACTTAAGAGTACAAACCACTTCAAACTGAAAATTATTACTTTGCAATTGAAGAATATTAATCTGCAAGCTGATTTCATAGCTGAAAAAGAGAACTGAACCATTATTATTTGCACTGAGCTTTTGTGTTCAAAACACTTCATGGGAATTGGCTGGGTGATTTTCCTGATGTGGTCTAACCCCAAAGGTCCATCTTTTCAGAGCTTGGCAGCGAGCTTGCGTGCTTCTCCCTGTGGAAGGCTAGCTGAATTAGCTGAAAGAGGCTGGGGGGGTGGCTGAGCAGTAGGTACTTGTTTGTATTTTTATGTGTAAAATCAGGTCCTTTTTAAGACACCTCATGTCTCAAAGCTGTAGCTTTTAAGATGGGTCACTGATTTTCAGTTAAATACCACAAGAGAGGATGTTAACTATGGCATTTGTCAAAAAAAAAAAAAAAAAAAAAAAAAGGTGGGGGGAAATGTCCTTTTTGTTTCATCTTTAAGTTGGTGGTTAAATTTATTCTCACACTGTTTATAAGCAGAACACTCAGAAACAGGAACTTGCATTGGTTAAACAAGCTCTGCAGTTTCTGACAGAGGTGCACTAACATTGTCCTTCATGGATTTAATTCAATCCCTGGTGATAACCAGCCTCCCAAGTTTTCAGATGCAAAGATGTGCAAACATTTTACATGGCCACAAGTGCCGCACCTCACATTTAGTTTGTGTAGGTGTCTGGATGCTTGAGTGTGCCTTCCAATAACACATAACATTATAAATGGTAAATTATACCCAGATTAATTCATACTGACAAACTGGTGGCAGCAGGTTTGGTTTGCTACCTGTGGCGTTTGTACCAGCATAGCTTTAGATAGCTGCAGTTCCTGATATGGTTCATTGCCCTCATGTTCCAGTGAGTAATGCTATAAAGGAGATTGCTGTCTTGGTTACACCTTGTTGTCCTGTGTGAAAGAGAGAGGCTTGACCCATTGCAGTGCTGCACTCAGGCTGTGTTAGCTAATCCACAGGTAATAACATGAACTGCCTGCTTAAGATGATGCAGCTGGGAGAAAAAAACCAAATCTGAAGCAACACTTCAGGTGAAGAGAACAAATAGTCAAGCAGTCACTTATGGCCACTCTAAGAGGAAAGGTATTTTTGAGTGTTCATATTCGTGCCTCAAAATACATCATCTTTCTTCCCCTTCTTTGCTAGTCTGAGCCAGGCAGCACCAGTGAATCAGAGAGCCTGAACAGCAAATGCAGGCGAAGCCTAAGTTCTGAAATCATTCTCAGTTTCAGCTGAAAGAAATGGACTGATTTTTGGCATCACTCACCTGCTTAGCTTTAATAACAATCACATGTGAGGTGAAGAGGCATGTGTATTTAAATAGAGGTAGGTTTCTTTCTTTTATCAGCAGAGATACCTCTTTTCGAACATCTTATCCAGAAAAAGACAAATACTCATGCAGTTATGTTAGGGTTGCTGATGAGAGTACTTGAGTCCCATCAGAATCAGGGATGCACCTCATAGATTCAAATGCTAAATAAAACTGCCTATATTTACTGAAGTCAATGAGGTTCTCACCAGAATGTCTGGCATTTCTGAAGTCAAACTATAACATAACAACCAAGGAATCCTAGTATGATGAGTGATTTTTTTTCTCTCAACCTGGAATTTGAGCCATCCTGTTGATTTTTCATGGCTGGTTCTCTCTTGGTGGTTCTTACAAGTGATTTTCCTCCTTATATGGAAAGATTCCAGGGTTGGCCATCAGCATCCATTGCAGCTGGCACTTTACTAGGTGGAAGGACAGACTAATCTTGGCAATTGAGGAAGGCTTCTGTGCCTGTCAGCTCACGTAGTGGAAGTTACAAACCACTACTGATTGGGGGTGGCTGCAGTTACTGACAGCTCTTTGCTCTTTCATCTGCAAAGTTTGGGGTTTGTTATGCAGTTGTGACCTCTCTGTTCCTGTGTGTCCCATGTCCCCCATAAACTCTGCTCGGGATAGAAGTAGCTTGAAAGAGTTAAAGAATAAAAATAAGTGGCTGTGATGAATAAGCTGTATGATCTGTATGATTCACAGAAGTGGAAACTCAACAGCAGTTAAACCTTCAAATCTTAATCTGCTTTGGCTATAATATATCATATGTAAACAGGCATATGTTCACAGGGTAATTTGTGTCTCATTGTCTGACGTCAGAAATTTTGCAATGATATTTAAAAAAAGAAATTCAGAGGTCAGGTGTTTTTTTCTTTTTCTGTAAGGTGTGCTTTACAAATGAGCAAACCTCAGAGTAGCTGAGAAGGGTCTGTCACTGAAAACTGGTGAGAATCTGTTGCTGCCAGAGAAGTTCACATTGTATTTTGAGTGATTAAAGAAACATCTAAGCAAATATTGAAATAAAGAAAAGTCAAGAGAGATCCACACAAACAGCTTTCAGTGGTACCCTGAGGCATGAGCCATTAACACAGCTCACTCCCTCACTTGAACAGATTCTTCCCATGAATTCTCCATTTTACAACTAGAGACTCTGAAGTTTTCAAATCAGTGGAGCCATGATGTATAAAGATAAAACCTAATCAGGCAGGCATCTCATGGAAGATTTAGCACACTTATGCTAAAAGGAGTGCACATTCCTCTGAATCAAGGACATATTCATCATCTCCAGAGCTGTGATCTTATTCATTTTAGAAGAATCAAAAAGACTAGGCTAAGTCAGTGCTCCCTTGAGAAATACCCAGAGCAAAAGCAGGGGCTGCAGGAAGTGATACCGATGACTCACCAGCCAAGGCCAACACACTGCCTTATTTTAGACAATGTCCTCTTGGACATATTCATGTTTCCTCATGAGTGGCTGATGACAAAGGTGTTACCTACCTGTGGTCACAAGTACCTCATGACGTTTTTATCAAGAATACCTCTAGTACTGTGGCCAAAACTAGCTTAGAATTCACTGTGCAGCTAAATTCCACTGCCATTTCAAGTGAATCTTAATCTCCACTTTCTCTAAAAATCTCCATGTATGGATTCTGAGGTGCTGTGTGGTCTATTAACTGAACAGTTCCATAATGGATAGTGGTCTGTTATACACTGAAGAAGATGCACCTAGAAAAGGGCTTCCTGGAGCAGCAAATGTTAGAATATCCCAAGGACAGGTCTTCTTTTCTGTAGCTACAGCCAAAGCCTTAAGCTGATGGCGCCTCATTACAGGTACAGACTAGTACTCACTGCAAATTCCAAATCTTCCATAAATAATAATTTATTTTCTGGCCATAACTGTTAATACATAATGTTTCAAACATACGACGTGGTCACAGAATGCTCAGAGGAGAATCCTAAGTGTAGGTGCCAGCGGATTCTAGGCTGCCAGCCAGTAACTACAAAGAACAAAAACATTAGATTGATTGTTGAGCCAGTGAAATTCTGGGATGCGTGTACATCATGCAGTAGATGCCCATGTATGTGCTTAGCCTCTTGATGCATGAATAATCTCACTGACTTGACAGGACTGTAGCAACGTGCAGAGAACACAGTGTGTTTCATCATTTCAAAGGCTGTGGTGGGCTGAGAAGAAAGCCTGCCTCACTCGCTTGTTCTGATGTTAGTCCAGACCCAAAGACAGAGTCTAAAAGCACACGCATGAATTGAATTGCATGGGAAGCTTACCAAAGGAAGTGTTTGCTTGTAAACTCAGTATGAATAGGATCTTCTCTGACCGCAAGGGAAACGGACACACTCATTCACTGTCCGCTTGTGCAATCAACTTCTGAAGTAAAAAACAGGATTTGAGGTTTAAAACCTGAACCTTCACACGTCTTTCAAGCAACAGAAGAAGCCTTCATGCTTTTTAGTTCACAAAGGAACAAAGTCAGGAGGTGCTGCTCATAAGACTCCTTGGATTTGATAACAACTGGCTTATCAAAAGGGAATCATTCAGAGTTCTGAGCAACAGCAGCCCTCAGAGCAGCTTTTGTGTAGGCTTGAGGGGAGACATCTGAACACCATTACATTGCACTCCTTTTGATGTCACTACGTGCTCGTCATGTGTTTTATATCTTTGCAGTGAATCTGCTGCCAAGTTCCACAGTGTCTCAGGATGGTTGTAGGTT